TATGAAATTAACTAATGTGCTAAGTCCTAGGATCGAACCTACAAGATTACAAAATATAAAGAACATGATTTTATTTTTAAAAAAATGTAATCAACACAAATTTACATATTATGTACTGATGGCCAAATCATTGATAAATTTAAGGACAATAATATATATTGTTATTAATTAATGAGTTAAACACATCTTACTATAAACACTGTAATACAACATGAATAGGTTCATATTATAATTAAATAAATAATATCCTAAGATATTTTTTTAAATGTCATTCCGTGTAATAAAATTCATAATATATATTTAAGTTTAAGTTTCCAGATTTTTTTTTAAATTTTAATAAAATTATTAAAATTAATATTAAATGTTTAAAAACGTAATATACCTACCTATTCCAAATTTAAACTTAAAATGTTTATAAAGAATATTTTATTAGATTTTATGGTTCAAGTAAGGATTACATAATATAATGTTATATAACCTTTTCAAAACATATATAATAAAAATAAAACTTTTTCTGAATTTCTAACTTTGAATTAGTAAAAAATGTATTGAAATTTCTTCAAAATTTTATTTTAAAATCAATCTAAAAAAAATTGTGCCTATGTATTTCTTAGATATATTTTTTTACAATTATAAAAAATACTTATGTGGGATTCAGCATACAGTTTTTAAGAATTTAGAACTAACAAATAATTTTTGATCAACATTTATATAAAAAAAACAACAAAGAAAATTTAAAATTTAAATTTAATGAAAATCTAAAAATATTGTTATATTAAATTTCTGATATTTTTCAACTTATATATGATTATATGAACATTTTATGAGGAATTTTCAATTAAATTTTCAAGCATTCATAACATTTTTTATAGGCATTTATATATATTTAAAAAAAAAATTAAAATTAATTGACAATTTCAATTGCATATTTGCATATGAATAGTCTAATAAGATAAATAATTAAATTATGTGTTAAAAATGATGATATACCTAGTTATTTGGTGACAATTTTAACTTTTATCGATTATTTGTTATAGAGTTACACCAAATAAACAAAATCTATTTTACCAAAATCTGGATTTGCGTAAAAATTTCCGTTTTCTTCAATTATTTATTAGTAAAAGAAGTACTAGACACTAGTCATTTTTAATTTTAATCTTTTTAAAATACAATAATTTAGATAAAATTTTCTATATAATCACTCATAAAGTTGAAAATTAAACCACTTTGTTAATTACTTATGTATACAGATATAAAAAAGTTAAAACACATTATACATAGGTATTATTCTAAAATCAATACATTCATTGCTCTACACCAGAACATGGAGTAAGAATATTAAATAATGATAGGTATTGGACTATTGGAGACAGGGCCGCCTTTAACCTTTTTGAGGCTCTGGGCAATGGTATAATGGGGCTTTTACAACTTAGACAGAATACTATTTTATAAAAACAGGTAAATAGGGAGGTGGTAGATAAGAAAAAGTTTAGATTAATTTAACTATAAATGATTTTTATTTTTTCATTTTACATTAAATTTAAATACTTAGTATAATATTAACTTAAATGTAATCGGTAAATTTTTTAAATTCTATTTTTATTGAAGAAGCACTTTTCTAGATTTAAGATTGGAAAAATCGTTAATTACTTCTTTAAAGTCTATGTTTTTAAGCATATCACATTCTATTGACATCAATGACAAACTGTTCATTCTTTCTTGTAGCATTGTACTCCTTAATTCATTTTTAATTCTTTTAAATTTGAAAAAAGAGCGTTCTCCACTGCAGTTAATTACCATCATACTTAAAAATATTCTTAATGCAATTTCTACATTTGGAAATGTGTCTTCAATTTTATTTTTCTTCAAAAGATGATATATTCCTAGTATATTTTCACTATAAACATGTTCCAAGTATTCTTTTAAATGCAGACATTATATTTCCAACTCTGCCTCATTAACGTCTTCGTAATAGATTTTTGCAAATTATTTGCAACATTGTCTTAAGCTTTCAAGCCCATTTTTTTCCTGACGCAACCATATGCTTCTATAACTATTTTTACAGATTGTAAATATCCAATTAGATGTTAAAAAAAAAGGTAATAAATATCGATTGGTTGGTGATCTGATAGGAATTAGGGGGCCCCAACAATCGCGGGGCCCTGGGCACGTGCCCAAAGCGCCCAATGGGAAAAAGGTGTCTGATTGGAGAAAAATAGTATTGGATTAAAATATTTATACTACAATACAGTCCATATGATTATCATTTATCAGTATTCTATACAATAATAGGTATCATTCATTTATTAGTTATTACTTATTAGTTATTACCAACTCCCAATTATCATAATAATATTATATATTGGCTTAAATTTTATAATATTACGGACCCCGATCTTTTTTCAACCACCAAGCTCTAGCCTTTAAGTTATTTGTTTGTTAACGGTGACATTGGCCGTAAAGATATTGTGCTCTCAATACTGATAGCTAGTAAATACTTAAATAAGTAAAATCTATACCTAGGCAATAAAAATTAAAAATTAAAATAATATAGTGGTATGAAGACAATTAAAATATTGTATTTCCTATAATGACTGTAGAATGTTTATTTTTGAAATAAATATGTTTAACTATAAATATATTAGTACATATCAAGGGTGGCTAAACTGTGGCTTCCGTCATAGACTCATATGGTGCACATCTTATTGTATAATACAAATGTTATTTTATCAAAAAAAAAATTATTTTCAATATAAATTTATGTATTTGAACTTTGAAGAAGTATAATATTTTATTAAATTTCAATTTATAGAAAAAATTTACAAAAAAATATACCGTTTTTAATATATTTAAATATGTATTTTTAATTTCTATTATATAGGTAATACTGTAATAGGTATATTGTTTGGCATTTTAAATATTTTATTACAATTGATAGGTATCTAATTATCTTCTTTGCACGATAGTTATATACATACTGTAATAAGAACATTTTTTTCGTTTTGGCTCTTCCATATTTATTAATATATTGAGCGGCTCTCAAGTCTTTTCTTACTGGCCACCCCTAGTATATATATTTTCTACATATTTATAGAAGACAATTACGCTTAATGGCGTAGAAAGCATATTGCACAATATGCACAAAAGACAGCGTAAGTGTTGTTTATAATTTCAGTTATAAAAAGTTTTGGAATATTTTTAAATACGGTTCTAATAATGCAAAATTACATATTATTATTTATTAAATTCTGTTGATTGTATTATTGTTATTTATTCGTAATCTAAAAATAACATAATTGATTTTGGTATTTTGGCTGTCTGAAGATAACAAAACAAGAACACTCGTAGTCGGTAAAATGTCCCTTGAACTTCCAGCACATCAATATTCAGGTAGTAATGCATTTTTTATAAATATGAGGAGTAGCAAATAAAATATGAGTATAAGCGATTTCAATTCCTTTTCCTAATTTTTATTTGAGACTTATAATTCATAGACTCATATAGTATAAAAATAATTGCATTGGAATTAGTATATGGTTCAGTAGAAGAGGTGGTGGCACTGACATATAAGCAATAATTTCAAATGTGTTATTGTTACATGACCTATCATTATGGTTTTATCGACATCATTACATTTAAATATTTAATACATTTTTTTTTTTATATACTTAATTTTTATTTCCACAATCTGTTTCATACATTTTGAACAATAATTGAAATTGACGAATTTGATAATTATAGCGTGAAGGACGGATTAAAGATACCTTTCAGTGAAGGCACTTTTACAGTTAAAGATGAAAGAAAACAAAAAAAAAAAAATGTTAAACAGCTATGTTAGAAGATATTATATGTGAAAAGATAAGTAGGAATAACAAAGGTAGAAAGAAGAACAAAAGGTATTAGATTGGTCTAAACTAATAGGTCCCTACACCACCTTTTTTCAACCTTTTTTGTGGGTTGCTGAGTATATTTATAGACGCAAGTTCTTTGGTTAAAGGATTTTTATGGTTTTGTACGTTGAAGTAAGGGTCTGTAGAAGATCTTAACTACATCGTTGGCAGGAGAGATGGCTAGGTCATTATGTAATGTGTGATTTGATACGTAAAAGGGTACTTTGGTTATAGTACGGAGGACTTTGGACAGTTAACGCTGGATACGGTTGATATTTATAGGTTTAGCGGAGCCCTATAATTGGATTCCGTACGTCCAAATTGGTTTTAAGAAGAATTTGTATATTAATAATTTAGTGGATAATTTGATATGATGGGAAGTAAGGAGAGAACGCCAGAACGGAGAAGACGAAAACGATCATTTAGGGTTAAGAGCTTGTTACGTAGATGTGGAGCCCAGGTTGATCGATGGTGATGCCTAGGTAGCAAATGTATGGTGCGACAGGAAGAATTTGTTCATTAAGGATGATAGGTGGACATTTTTTTCCCCAATAGTGAAGGTTATTTAATACATTAACTTCATTATATTTTGATATGACCCTGGGACTCATCAGCCACCGCTAATCATTGACTTTCAAGTTTAAACTATTATTATTATAAATCAATAATTGATATACTTTATTTAGTGATTATAATCAATTATTTAAATCATTTTGTATATTTTTAATTGTCTTGTGATACTGATGAGTGATTATCTGAGGATCACGATAAAGATGTTATTTTTACCATTTGTGAGTATGGTAAACAAAGGAAGAACAATTTTATTCAACTAGTTTCTGCACATAGATGCATGCTTTATATGAAATAGTTAAGTATAATTTTTAGTGATTGTTTACAACACTTACGACTATCCATACCACGTTATTGATTATACTACTCATCAAATTTCATGTATATATTTATTATAATTTTAAGAATTTACAATATTAGTTTTTCCAAATGTCTTATATTTTTTTGCATAGTTTTGACTTAAATTTTTTAATATTAATTTGAGTAAATTAATTAACTAATAATATAATATGTTATTATTATAAATTATGAAGTACTTGTTCAAATATATCGTATTTAGTTTAACAACTATAAGTTTTTTGATTAGAATCCGATCTCATGTATTTATGTCTTTGATATTGACTCGCCTTAGTACCATATAGTAAGTGTATAGTGCTTTAACAAACTGAAAATAATTACAGTATTATATCATTTATATCAGATTAATAGTTATAACCAGTAAGTGAAAACTCAGTAGTATAGTTAGTATACTGTGTTATATATGGTATATTTAATTGATACTTTTGTAATGTATTAATATATGTAGTATGTACTAATGGATTAAAAAAATGTAAAAAAAATGTATATAAAATAAAAATCATCTTACCGAAATGAACGACTCGTAACTTAATTTGTACATGTAATATCCTGTGATTAAAATTGGTTTTATAGATCTCAAAATCATTAACGTCACTAATTGTCGTACTTTTTTATCACATTGCCACCACGGAACGTTATGCAATGCCGTACAAACACTTAATTGCTGCATATAGACATAAATAACGGTATAATTATATTATTTAGGTACCTAGGTTTATAGTCTATAATTTTATCCGTACTTTTTGTATTATAAATTCACCAAAAAAATTATTGAGATATTGATGCCAAACACTCAAACAAATGAAACTTATCACACTGATTGTTTCGATTATGCTGGCACTAATCTGAATATAAAATACATAATAATACTAAATAATTTTAATTGTACAACCTAAATAATAATTTAAATAGAGTGGTTTTTACATAAATTAAGTTTTTTAGTAAGGTTTAAAAAAAAACTTTTAGTAAAATGTAGAAAAAAGAAAATAATTGGGTAAAATGAAAATAACTTTAAATATAAGTTTAATATAGTTATTTCAAGATAATTAAACATAAATTATATGTATAATTAAGCCTCTATTATAATTATAAAACAATATGTCATCTTTATGACTGAAATGCAATTTGCAATAAATTATGTTTTCATAACAGGTTTATTTTTTAAAACTGACAACTGATTAGGTACTGGTTTAAGGTATAAATAACATATAATTTCGATATTATCTAGCTATTAATACAGCTATTCATTTTATTTTATCATTAAAATATTTATTTCATTTATTATTATATTTATTTATTTTTTCATTTATACCAATTATACCATGATTAAGATATAATTTATTTTTATTTTTGGTAGGTAAGTATAAAAAAAATGTTGATGTGCGAAATTATTATATTACGTACAAGATAATTCACTAAGCAATAAGCATGTGATTATTCTCATTTATTGTAATCCTATAATCCTAAAAATTGATTTCTTTGAATCTTGATTTTTGGAATTTTTCAAGTATAACTAAGGATCAAATTTTCAATTCTCTGTGATGTTGCTAACTTTTAATATTTAAATAATAATAAATACTCTTTTTCCTATAAATTATTAATCATGAATTTATTGACATTTTTGATCAAATTCAAAATTTGAACAAATCATTTTGAATTATTTTATTTAACTTTGTGTACCAAGGATAATATATAGGTTCATGAATCATGATAATATATGATTGACGGATTAGGGCATAGGCATAGAGTAGTCAATTTTTTTTTTTTTTTTTTGGGGGGGGGGGGCTATTTTTGGAACTGGGGAGGCTAAACCTTCCAAGCCTATGGATTAGGGTTTATAATGATTTAAAAATTATAACTATCTGCTTAACAATTTACAATAAACAAAGTTAACATACCGTTAACTGAAACAATGCAAATGTCACCGATGTTATTCCATGTAAATAATCCATAAGTATAAGTGTGCTAAATAGTTTACCTATTCTTTTTATATAACTAAAAAACAAACAAACAATAGATATAATATAATCATACAATTAGATAAATTGTAGGTTAATACTAATAAATCAAGACAAGTATAAAATATAGAATAGGTGGTATCTACATGGCTACATACTTAAATTTAATACATACTCAAGTATTAGGATGTGGTGTTTTACACATTCTCGGAGTGTTGAGTAGCATCGTATTTGTTGTTTCTCAGTATAAAATGAAGTCTGGTTAGAACACGAACAATTTTCAACTGTAAAAAGCTTGTGTTACAATTAATGTTAGACATTTAGGGCACATTTGGGGCAGTACACCACCACGGGTTTGTCAAATCTATAACTATATTTAAAACTAATAATGATTCGTACTACAGTAAAACTTCGTTAAGACGTTCTCGAAGTTTTATGATTTCTCAATCATAAAACTATGTACGAGTATTATGCGGGATGCTAAATAGAATAAATTAGAAAAAAATTTCATGGTATTACAATATGTTTAGGGGTGTGCTTAGAAGGATTTGGGTGTTTAAACCCTCCTTGAAATTTTAACGAATTTAATGAAAAAGTATTGCCTAATATTTCATATTTGTATTTAATTGTATACACATGAAATTAATTTGAAATTTGAAACATAACTGATTATTGAACACATAGGTAACCGAATTATTTGTCAATTTTTTAATAGGAAAACCTTAAGATGAGATAAAATACGAACAAAATGTATAAAAGATAAATATAGTATTTTTATTACTTAAGCATTTTCGATATGTACATGTATTGTATCATTTGTATCCATATTTTTAGTGTCCATGTCCACTTTTAAGACGTTTTAACTCTTATTATGTGCATATTTTTTTTTTCGGGGAATTTAAAAGTGTCCACTATTGATAAGTGTCCATTAATAGAGGCTTCATTGTATAGACACTTGTCCTAAATTCGATTTACATTATTTATCACTTTATTAATTATTACATCAACATTCTTTAAAAGGAAAATATTTATATATAAGGACTAATCCAAATAATGTTATGTCTATAAATGACTATTTATTTTAATAAGAAATAATTTTGTCCATTTGATAGAGTTCAGTTTTTTTCGTAATTATTTATATTGGGAGTTGTAACGAAATAAGAAAATACCTAGCTAAATGTCATAATAATTTAAAATAATTAAAAATTACTTTTGCAAGAAAACATTAAGTGGCATTTGTGAAATTTAAGCTATTTAATATATTTTAAAGCTAAACAATTTGATATTTATCTGAAAGATTTTACATAATACTATGATAATTGATAGTAACGAATTGAAAATCGAATAAAGGTTTTTACATTCTTAAATTCTTTACCAGAATTTGTATAGTAGGAACACCAAATAAAACTGTTTAACAATGATTCAAATACTTATCAAAAAGTTAATATTTTTTTATATTTTCAAGACGATGAAACTATTTATGAATTTTCAGTCACTAATCGCTCAGGTGTAAATGTGTTTGAATAGCTAAGTTTGATGAAAACAATATTAAAAAGGCAAATAAAACAAGCGATGTAGAAAAGATGAGATGACGGTGATTTGTATAGAATAAAAAATTTTTACTGAAAATTGTATCTCAAATAAATCATGAAATTTAACTTATAAATCTACATCTTTTAGATCAAACATGAAAATTTAATAAAGAATTTTTAATAGTTAGAGTTAAATATATTTTAACATGTGGTTACGTGTTACTGTTACTTATAAATTATAATAAATAAAAGTTTTTTTCTATGTATGTATTATATAATTTTGAAAAATTATATAATAAATTAAAAAATTTTTAATAAAATCGGTTATGTTTGTTTTATCTATTTTTAAAAACGAATTTAGTATATGTAACTTTAACTATATATTTATAAATTATAATTATAATTTTTAGACACTTAAAAAAAAAAATGTCTGTATTTTGATAATTATTTAGGATTAGGATTTAAGATTTGAAATTTGAAATTTTTATAATTTAATTCCGTTTGTGTTGATATAACATTTGTTTTTAAATAAAAAAATCTTAAAAATTTAAGCAAAAACCCTCTATAAGTAGTACTAGCAAAATTGCAACAATTTCAAAAATATCAGATAGTTTATAGTAATTTAATATAATAATTTATTACTTACATTGTGCTAAAGTGTTTTCGTTATTATTTAGAGATGTGTTTAGTAATTCGATTTGACCGCCAACAGCATAAATTGCCCCAAAAAAATATGTATCAATACCTAAATATATAATCACGATTAACAACAACGCAATAGAATGACAGACAAAAACTGCTAAAAACATCCAATTTTCGTTTATCGTGAATGGTATCCAACAGCTTAAAGGGTAGCTTTTTGGATCATTGTAGTATTGAATATCGTACCGATCACTATAATACATACAGTAGTTAGTTATTAGAATAATTGCATAAAAAAATTTCACCGATTACTTAAGTATAATATAACCCAAACAACACAAACTAGTGGTTTCTCTCGTTGTAAAATACATAGTACTGGATTTTTTACTAAATGTAGATTATAGTATCAGGAATCAATCAGACTTTCCCTGAATTATAAACTGAAACTTTAGGCACAGAAATTGAATTCTTTGGATAGGTATTTCCAAACTTTTTTATAAAGCATTGTGAAAGTTTTATCATTTATAAAGCATTTGGTTTGTCATAAATTAAAAAGTTTAAAAAGAGTGCGTAATTCGTTAACATACAGTAAAATAATAATATATTTAAAATTTTTCTATCGACCTTTTTAAAGCCGAAATCGAAAATGTGCAGTTTTTGGATGTAACTACCGAATCGTTCCGGCAAGAATCTTATCTTTTACAATTTGTATTATTATTGAGGAAATTAAGAATTACTAAAATTAATTAAATTAAAAATAAATAATAACATTTTAAAAAATAATAAAGAAAATTTAATTTACCCCTTTGAATAGGTCAACAGAGGACTGACGACTATAAAACAAGTCGCAACAAAACCACTAAATAAATACCAGTAACTGATCTTTTTCATTTGTTTTAAATAGTCGGCAGTAAACACATCAGCCGAACGTCCGTACGCCGCCGATCCTTGAGTTTGTAATTGCGCCAGTGCGAATTTAAGATGGGCAAATTCCCAGTTGAACGCCGTCATGTAAAGCCATTTATACAAGCCCGAGAAAAACATGGTCCAAATATCTATGGTCCTTGCCAACATAGTAAGGTCGGTAGTAATAAACATCTGGACCATCATCAGAATCGTTAACAAAGTCAGAATGATAAAAATGATCGATCTGTAAAATGTAAAAGCCCAGCGCGTCCATTTCGTTGAGTCATTTGATTGAAACACACCGATCCACCGGAGAACATTGTATGCAAACGATAGATAATCACTACTCTGCATCATTTCGAATGAATGTTTTTATGATATTGTTGTATTTACGACTCAAACGAATGACGTGGTTTAACTTCAGCTTAGGTGGCGACGTGATAACCATTAACATTGACAACATATTTTACTTATATTTTTAATATATTTTCCATATTTTATTATGTGTAGGTATTAACTTATTATTATCATGGTTAGGGAATTATGCACAAAATGTTTTTTTTTTAAATTTATTATACATTGGTTTAATATTAGAATAGCAGCTACCAACTTTAATTTTTTATTGGACGTAATAATATGTTAATATGACAATATTCAAAGAATATTATTGTTTAAGGAATCCAAACTATATATTTAACTATAATAAGATAATTATTATAGGTCATATAATGTATATAGTAATCTTTATAAATATAAAAGAACAGTCCAATTTTATGTTCCCATTTTGTGACGACACTATTAAACATTTTTCCAATTTTTTTTCACTGAGTTGTACAGTGATCATTAAATTTTTGTTTTATTTATAATTCAGCTATTACTACTATTTAGCACCTTGATAAAACTAAGTAAAATTTTGAGAAATCACTAACTACACAAAGGCGAAGCCCGCGGGTAATTCAACTAGTAATGTATAATTTTAAACATTAATACGTTGTAGGAATAAGTACTTTATAAATGCAACTTGCACTTTTTTATACTTAATTAAATATACACAATGTCTTACAGCGTTGACATAAATCAATATCTTACCTTTAAACTTTAAATGCACTGGTTTAATACTGTAATAACAGTTACCTTACCTATTTTACCCAAATATGTTTTATTAAAAGTAATAATATGACAATTCCAAAGATATTTTAAAAAAAATTAAAATTATATATTTGCCTATATAATAGTATAATCATTGTAGACTTTATACCAAATATATATTATAAATATTAATAGGTTGTAGATAGGTTTATCAATATGTATGTTATATTTATACAAATTCAGCTTATTAATGACTATCGTCCATTATCATTCACGATATATATTAACCTATAATGCATATCCACTTATTATTTTAATAGTTTAATTATATTGTTTATCGGTATTATTACCTACTATATGGTACTACCTAGTACCTACCTACTTAATATTTTATAAGAGATAATAATATGACGATTCCAAACATAAATCCTAAAAAAAATTATATATTAGCATAATATAGCATAATATCCATATCTATAATAATAAGTTGTAAGTATATATATATATTATACAAGTTGACCAATATATCATGAAATGCATTTTCATTATAACGAAAAAACTATTCAAAATGAAATTATTTGTATAATTGGAAACTTACTGAAACATTATACTAGATTGAATTCAAAAAGCTAAATATAATATTAAGTTGGATTGCATTATCGGGACATTAATCACGCTAAACAACTTTCTTTGACTATTAAATTATTTTAAATATAGACAAGAAATGTGCATTAAAGAAAATTTTTAATGTTTGAACCAATAAATGACTCGTCTAGTGAAGGAGTTTTTGATACTTTATAATAATGTATAATTATTAACTAGAATTAAGTAACAGTAAATGGCAGGGATACAACAACGGGACGAATATGAATGGTAAAAATAAAGGCGTGCAAGCAAGAATATTATCAGCCAATTTTCGAGCTGTTTTTATGCCATGTGGTTGTCATTTATTGAATTTAGTAGTTGGAGAAAGTGTTTCTTGCTCTATTGAGTCAAAAAACTTCTTTGGAACGATTCAACGAATATACGTGTTGTTCTCTGCAACTGTGAGTCGTTGGTATATCTTAAAAAATGTTGAATATTATATAAAATCTCACAAATAATAGACGCACTGAAAGAATGAACTAAATTACTAACAGCGCGTAATAATAATATATTCATCTACCTAACCTATCTCGAGCCGGCATTGGATATTAATAATTATGATAATCACTGTCAACAAGAATTAATAATTTCGTAACTTGTCAAGATGCAGTAATAAAAATAGAATTTTGATGATTAAAAAACATACAATGATATTTTAAAATAGATGAAAAAATGTATTATATTTTGCCTCCCACTCACCAAAATAACAAATAAAAATTATGCCATTGATATAATATTAATTATGGGATAGCAGTGGCGTAGACAGTGGAAGAGGGTGTTTAACTCACCACTGTCTTTCTATATGTACATCTAATAAATGTATTATTTATATTATTGTATTTTTCATTAATTCTATTTTCATATTGAGGTGGTGTTTATAATATATTATTATAATGTTATATATTCACAAATTTACAATTAAAATTTGTTCTTGAATAGTTCAATTGGGCAACAAACATAACAAAAACAGCAAAAAACTAAGTTTAATTTTCACTTAACTCCCTCCCCCCTTCACTATGAAAAATTCTGACTACGCCAATGTGGGCTAGCATATTAATGATTCAACGATTAAACACAGTTTTTATATCAAAATAACTTTTTCTATTGTTTTTAATAAAATATTATAACAGCTAAAAAATAAAAATAAAATAACTCACCATAAATAACTACAGTAGTACGAATTAATTTTAACCAGTGTAAAAAGGTGTGAGATTCTTAATTCATAATTTGAAATATAAGTTTAATATCTTTGAAAATAAACTGACCATATTTTGAATAATGTTATAATAAACTTTGTTAGTTGTCTTAGATATATTCGCTTGAAAGTTGAATGTTTACTTGTATGTTCAGTCACAAATTTTGAATTAGTTTAATTCTTTACTTCGCGAAGAACAACTATTATTGAACTTCTATATTTTCGTATGGACATTTGCATCACATAATATAGATTTATATTAAAATTATCTTAAATATTCGATAATTTATGAAACAGAGGTTCCTGTCCAATGGCGTAGCCAGGGGGGATTGGGTATTGTAACCCCCAATTGATTTTTATTTAATTATTTAAAATAGGTACATATTTTGAATGATCTTTTTTTTAGGTTATTATTTTAATTTATCTATCTTTGGTTTATACCTAAACCACCTTAACCCCACCCCCCCATATTTAAAAATTCTAGCTACGCAACTGTAAGTAGATAATAATTTGAATAACTATTAGTAAAATATTTACTTTAAACCTTTACTACTAAAACTCATCACAAACAAAGCTACGCGGCCAAAACCTATATAAGTCTATAACTAATAGAATAGGTTATGATAATAATAAAATTGTCTTAATTACTAATTAATATGTATAAAATATTATTTCAATAATCTTAATTCAATTTTATTTAAACAGAATAAAGAATATTTAATCTTGCCAGATTACATACATTTTTATGCTTAAACCTAGCAGCCCCGGGTAATTTAGCTAGTTATATAACATAACATGGTATTTTATTGATGAAAATTAACTCGATCTACCGTATTACTAATAAATTACTAATAGATATAGCTAAATCAATAAACATATGTAAGGTATCCTTAAAAATATGTACTATCTCAGCTCTAATGTATATAATATATCCAAAACGGCTAGGCATGTTTGTCATCTTAGTATCTTACATTCATTTTGTATTATCACGAAGTGCCTCAATTATAGGTATAGCTGCATTTTGATAACTTAACAAAATTTACAATAAGATTATAATGATAAAATCTTTCAGTTTACTACACACTTGCATATCGACTGCCGAAGTAGGTAGTCTTGTTTCATCGCTTGCTCAGTCTGTAAAATAAAATATTATCTTCGTTGACATGACAGGTACCTTCTAATAAATCATTTTTATACTGTGCCACTGTGGTCCATATCAAAGTACCATATTTTTCATTGTTATCACAATGGAAAGGTTTATTCCATAGACCTATGGTCTAAAGTTTAAGATTTATGGTTTCCACCTTGCTTGTCACCTTAGAATGAAACGGTTTCTTTTGATTAGTTTGCTTGAGAACAACGGGGAAATCGGCATTTTGTCTAAATTTTATAGGTTTGCATCAAGCTTTATAGTGGATATAATAATTTATAAACCCTGGGTAACTTGAGTTTGTTTGAACTTTATTCTACGATAGCATGGTTTTATTTTATTTTAATGAAGTTCGATGTTATTAACTGTTATCAAAATCTTGATTAAAGATAATTAGATAACAGATAATATTTATTACAATTATTAATTTAAGATTTTAGTCTAATAGTTGATAATTATATTTTATGAACTTAATTTTCTTTTAATATCTAGATACAATTTATAATTGATATTTATTAATATATAATAGTTATAGCCTTCATACAGGTTTGAGGTTACTGTGCCTAAATAACAAGTATTTATCCGAATATTTGATGTTGCAGAAAAAATTAGTTATTTTACTAGTTACAAACAATGTGTACCTCCTGTATTATATTCTTTACAACTTAATCATATAAATAGAAATGAAAAAAATTAAAATAATATATTAACACAAATATTAATAGGCAGTTGAAAAACGTAAAAAAAATATGTTGAAGTTATTAAAATTGAAACCAAGATTTGTCATTCGAACAATCGCAACTTACCAAAATAATGTATCAGTTCAACAAAATTTAACGAAATATTTTCAAGATAAAATACATATAAATGGTCCGATTACATTAGCTGAATTCATGCGAGAATCATTAAAAACATATTATAATAGTGGAAATGTCTTTGGGTCTGATGGAGATTTTATAACATCTCCTGAAATAAGTCAACTTTATGGAGAAGTAAGTAAAGAATTATATAATTGAAAATTAAAATTAGTTTTATCGTTTGCCATTAAGTAATAAAGTTAAATTATTTTGTGTTTCAGTTTAACTTTTTAAATGCATGTATTTGATTTAAACAATATTTATAGATGGTTATGCTATGGTTGTTAAGCATGTGGGAAAAAGCAGGGCGTCCATCTCCTGTGAATTTAATAGAACTTGGACCAGGCACAGGAGTAATGATGACAGATATGTTAAGAGTAAGATAAAAATATTAAATAATATATTATTTATTAAAATATATAGCAACCAACCTTTATTTTTTTACTGAGATATAAAAAAAATAAAAATTCTTGACAGGCCAAGAATTTAAACTTTTTTTTTGAATGTTATATTTTATTTTAGGTTCAACTTAATATAGATTTACTGATGTATTTAATGATTTATTATATATTGATTGTTATAAATTACTATGGTGGGCCAGTTAATAAATGATTTCAGGCCACACTTGGGTCATCACTGACATAGTATATCTAGGGACTCGACATGATCCTTAAGTTTCAGTTAATCATAACTGCTGAGGCTATATTATAATAATTTGTTATTAATCATTTGTGTATCATATTTATTTATCTTTAAGTTTTAAGATTCACTGTCAAGTCTCAGTATCCCATAGTGGGCTTCTCAACTACAAAATCTGCTATAACATTTAGCATAGATAAATTAGATAATCAATAGTACTACCATGCTTATTGTTGTTAATTTTTTAACTAAAAATGAATGTTTATTTGAATGTGAAAGTAACAATGATTGTCGTAAATTTATTTTTATATGTCTGTACTCCATTACATTAAAAGTAGTGACATACAACTGGTTGTAAATTATCCATTTAGTAGGTACCTATCAGTCATTCTTTATAATATTTTTTTTTACAGTTATTAAAACAAACTCAATATAGCTCACTTGACCTTAGCATACATATGGTAGAAACAAGTAAAAAATGTAGTCTAGAACAAGCCAATAAACTATGCAATTCAGATTTATGGATTGAGTCAAACAAATGTTATTATCAACGTGGTATAACATGTGAAAAATATGGCACAAAAGAGATATTTTGGTATGAATCCATAGATGATATCCCTAGAAATACATTTAGTTTAATAGTTGCCCAAGAATTTTTTGACGCTTTACCTGTACATAAATTTAGGGCAAGTATAAATTTTTGAATATTGAAGTCCATAGCTATTATTATTTAATTACTTTGTTATTTAGAAAATTAATGAGAAATGGCATGAAATACTAATAGATATTGAAAACTATTTAAAAGGAACATTTTGTTATGTCTTAAGTAAGGCGTCTACACCTACATCAAATTTAATATCTACAGTATGTTATTTAACTATATAAAGATAAATATGTGTATATTGTTTTAATACTTATTAATTGATATTATTAATAGATAGAGTATTATAAATGTTCAAATCTCAGAAATGAAACTGAAATTGAAGTTGGGCTGGACGCCGCTATCATCATGGAAAAGCTTAGTGAAAGAATAATAATAGATGGTGGAATATTTCTATGTATTGATTATGGACAAGATAAGCCTATAACTGATACCTTTAGGGTAAGCTTTTAAATACTGTTTTTCAAAATATTACAATAACAAATGTTTATATACAGGCTTTTAGTGGACACCAACAAGTTAATCCATTACATAATCCTGGAACAGTAGACTTGACAGCAGATGTTGATTTTTGTAGACTAAAAAATGTTGCTGGAATTGATGTTTTGGCTTTTGGACCAATTGCCCAAAATATATTTTTAGAGAATATGATGATTAATTTGAGATACCAAGTAATTTAAGATACAATATAATCATATTTATTGTAATGAAATTAATTTATTGTATGTTTAAAGAATTTGATGACCTTGACAAAAAATGAAAAAGAAGCAACATCACTTAAATTTGGTTATAATAAATTAATGGAAATGGGTAAAAAATTTAAAATAATGGGAATGGTACCAGCAACAATGGCACCGATATTGTATAATTCTCTGGTTAGTGGATTTGGTTTATATAATTCAACAAAAAAGTGAGAATACTATTGTACTGATATAAAATCTAACACATTATACATTATAAATATTAATAATTTATAAATTTCCAAACTATGTCTGATTTGAATAAATTTTTGTTATTTTAGTAAGCTGTTACAAATAATTAAATAACAAATAAAAATAAATACTAAAGAAATAAACACATTATATATTTACATAAAATATAATTAATATTATCATCAATTAAATAATAGTTAATAATTACTAGAGTTCAAAGCGTATAAAATATATTATGCCAGTTGTTTGTGTATATCTTTTTGTAATTATTGCACTTTAAAAATATTACAAATCAATACAAATAGGCTAATAACATTAAACTTTAAAAGTTAACTGATAAATTATAATTATATACTGTATTTAATGTTGATAAAAATAAAAATAAGCTTTTTGAGTATTAGTATATTACCTATGAATAAAAGTAAATAATTTAATGCTTGAATATTCTTTTGAGGCTATTAAAAGGACATTTTAACTATAAGGGTTATCTCCTCAAAACTACAAGTACATTAAATAAAAAATTTATGTTTAAACTCTGACCCACAAGAGAAGTAATCCACTTCATCCATGTAGACTGGCGATGTCGACCAATGCCAATATTGTTAGTATGACAAATTGGTGAGAGACGCAAAAACTTAGACACATTTTGTTCGACATGGTTAACTTCTCTTGAAAGTTAGAGAATAGACATTTTTATTAAGCTTCATTAGTTTTAATATAAAAGAAAATTGAATAAATTATTAAATTTTCTATGAATTGTTAGAAATATTTTTCAATATTTTAATTTTGAAACATAATGAGCATTATTTAATTGTAATGTTTTACACATTTATAACTAATTTCATTACTAATATATTAAAATTAAAATAAAAACACTTTTAAAAACCATACATACAAGTAAGACCTCCTTTAAAACACTTAAAGTGTATACTTAAAAAGTTTAAAAATGTATACACTTTACCAATCCACATATCTTTTGATAGATCAATTATTCAGTAAATTCATTTTAATATATATTTAAGCTACATAATGAAAATGGATATTTAATTGATTGTACAACTTGCCCAATTTTAGCATTTGGGTACAATTAAAATTTGAAAAAAGAATGAATCTAAAACTAATGATTTAAACCTAACCTTAATGGTTGTCAAATTCCATGATCAACTTGATGGGTCATACAAGAGGTCACGAAATAATTTCTATGGAGGTGTTTGTTTTAAAACTTATCAAACTACCTGCAGTCCAAAACACTTTTATTCGCTTTAATTCATACTTGAATAATGAATAACCAATACACATTTTATTTATAAAAATGTAAAACTATATTATATATTTTATAATTACACAACCATTAAGGTTTGTAAAACATATATCCATGGTATACCATTTGGCGATCCCAGGATTATATTATATGCATTAAGTTTTATCACTAATGGTGATCTACTAAAATAAATTAATGTTATATGATATGAAGTGACCATTAATTTAAGTAAACATCTGTTAAACGAATTAAATTATCAAATTATATATTTGTTTTTGAAAAATAACATCATTATATTAAATATATTTTAGAATAGAGATTACCAATTTTTTTTATGTTCATCCATTGACACTCCACCAGGTCCTCTGAGTACTATCATTAATAAGCCTCCAATTACTGAAAGTGTCTAAATATAAAAACAAATTAGTAAAGCACAATTAAATAATCATAAATATTTAATATATTAATATCATTACTTGGAAGAAGTCATATTTAAGAAAATCACGAAGAGGTTTGGTTTCAGGTATTGTCCACCAAGCATTGTAATAGAAATTTAAACTGGTTAAAAACAAAACAAGCACCAAAGCACTAAGTTTAGTTTTGTAACCAATAAAAACTAATACCATCATAATAGTTCCTAAAAAGTCTTGAAGTAACTACAAAGACAATTACAGCGTCAATTATACCCGTATTTAAATAATATAGTATTTTAAAATATAAACCTGGAAAAATGATACTTCAAATTTTAATAGTGTAATGAACATAAATGCAATCAAACATCTTCCTGTCAGTTGCATATAATTTTTTTGTTTGTTTTCTCCTTAAAAACAATAAAAATATTAGTTTTTAATTTTATATTTTAATAATATTGCAACTTACCCAATGATGGAATACCAGCAAGCAGAGATTTTGACTCTACTTCACTATCAGCAAGAACCAATAATAATGCTCCAATTAATGCAAAATTTCTCAGTAAAAAATGGAAATCCCATAAAATGCTGTAGGCTACTGTCTAAACATAAAATGCAAGTACATTTTATTTGTATGTAAAGTATAATCATTATTAGTTAAAGATAAAAAAGTAAGATAATCATAATTTATATTTAAGTCAAAATAAATATAACAAATGAGTAAATTTTAAACAATTTTGGCTTACTTGTAATACAACTATAAAAAATAATATTCCACAAGCTATTCGAACATTTTTTTGTAGTAAAATAAGTATACATCCACCCAACTGTCCAACTAAATTAATTAAAACAAAAACAGTAGCCAAAAACATTCCACAATTCCAAGACATATCCATGTATCTGCTTTGTTCTGACCACTGAAAATACATTCGCAGACCATCTTCTATAAATGTTGATATCAAACATAACCGAGAAGCTGTCGGCAAGTATGCATTACAATTTTTAACAACCTACAAAAACAATGAGTAAAATATAAATAATGAGCAATTTTTCAATTTTAGTATTTAATTATATAATATATTATATTGTATTTGTTGTAATTAATTACCAGTTCTGAAATATCTTCTGCTTTGTCAATATAACTTTTAGGTATGAATGCCATAATAGTACACAAAAAGTAGAAAACAAATAAACTTCAATAAATAATCTAATGTTAAAATATTATACTAACATACACATAATGTATAATTACAATAAACATGAAAGTAGGTCTAATCTAATGAAAAATGTACATTTGTTTTTTAATATTTGTTTTTTTGAAAAATGTCCATGTTGATGATGTGATCGATTAGATGATAGTAACGTTTTAGTTATCGACGTCATTCATTTTTGTAAATTTTTCATTATATCATTTTAATTGATAATTTTTAAGTGTCCTAACGATCAAAAATATAATAATGATACAATTCAAATACAAATTTTTAAATATCTCTTTTCAATATTTTTATAATTAATTCTTTATTATATTTATTTGTAATTAATATTTCCAAAAATTGTAGTTATTTATAACGATAGAATATTTTGTTTTTGAATATAACTTCTGATCTATCAAGTTTTTTTTTGTTATCATTGTTATCAATTATAAAATAATCATTAATTTGGTAGTTATTAAATAAAAGAAATTATTTTTACATTTATGTTTGTAACAATTTTGTGATAAATTAATTTTCTTCTTAATTTAAAAGGTAAAAATATGTGATTTAAATTAATAAAACATCTATAAAATTTTTATCATATTGTCTTTAGTTGATTTAAAATATTTTGATCAACAGTTTTATTCGTATTTCAAACACAATATTTTATTTTTTAACCAATACTTTTATATTTTTATATTGTTCAGAATCACAGTTACAAGTATATTATTTATGTAATTTATATCTCATTCCTAATTACTATTGTGTTTTTTATTTAACTTTCAACTTACTAAAGCAATTAATAATTATACATTTATATATAAATATATTTCAGTACTTAAAGTGAACAGTTACATTATGAAACAATGATTTAATGTTAAAATAAAATGAATATTTTTGTATTTCATAAAATGTATAAAAGCCATTTCCTCTTCATGAAATAATCAAAAAGATTGATTTTATTTATGAAGTGGTTATGATATAGTATATTGGTGTTGATGTAGTTGTTTATGGTGGGTGATTCTAAAACTGTTATGATATTATAACATATCTATTTGTATCACTAAAAATTAAAGTTAAATCCACCACTGTATATGTGTTATGTCTCAGTTTTGATTTGTTTTTTTTTTTTATTTCCATTTACTTCTCATGTTGGTACATTATTGCATTATTGTATACATTAATCTATATTTATTATTTATTGGCATTATGTTTTTATGGATTGATTTATTTTAGGTTAAAGATCAAAATCTTCAAAATGATTGAAATTACTTGCAATGATAGATTGGGAAAAAAAGTTAGAGTAAAATGTAATCCTGAAGATACAATTGGTGATTTAAAAAAATTAATCGCAGCTCAAACAGGAACAAAATGGGAAAAGATAATTTTGAAGAAATGGTACACGATTTTCAAAGATCATATTAGATTGGGAGATTGTATCCTTTTAATTAATATATTTATATATTATATTGGCATAAATATAACGTTGTATATAATGTTTGATTTTATATTATGGGTATTATCATTGATCATTAGATATCATATTTCTATAATGTTAGGTTGCATGCTTTAAACTAATTGATTTTAATTTATTTTCCAGTTGCTAAACAGCTTTATAAAAATTATTTTAACGGTTGATAATCTTATTTTATCATAATCAGTTAAATAGTCAAGGCTGGGCATTAACGAGTTAAAAATTAAAATTAAGTTAAAACGTTAAGTTAATATTAACTAAGTTAACTAATTCGTTACTTTTTTTTTGAAACTAACTTTTAATTTCATAAGTTAAATTTTTAACATATTTAACATGTTAACTTCAAGTTAATTATATACAGAGATTTTAAAATTAAGTTACATTTTAAAATTTGATATTACCCATTGATTTATAATTTTATTGGTTTAAGAAATATTAGATAATAATATATATCATATTATAAAATAAATAGGAAAATGTATAATAATTAATAATTATTACCGGTTGTTTGATATGTATACAAACACAATATACATATAATAGACATATAAGTATTTCCAATTTTGTAGATAGCCTGTATCTAGTGAAATACCACTAATACCCACTCGCATGTATTATTAATTAATAGTTTTAAATTTAAAAATGTCAATAATTGACAATTATATAGACGTATAGTCGCGAGTATAGATTCTAGCCGTTCTAGGTAGTAGGTACTACGGGTAGCGACGGCTGTGTACTTAATTAATAATTAGTTTTGTTGTAAACTAGAATTCATTACCTAGTGACACTTTACGAATACGCCACACATCCTGAGAAATACGTTATTACTTGAAATTATTAAAATAACTCGTGGGGAAAAATTTATTTCTGAACATCTTTGTTAACTCTGTCACTCTGATTCGATGTTAATGTATCATATATCTCATATACTCTTGTATCTTATTACGCTGATTGTGTTTATACTTTATGTGGATTTCCCAAATATTGACATGTAGCAGCTAATAGTATAATTTGTATAATTTGTGTATTTATATAATTTTAACTCCCTCCCCCCTTTCCTTTAATGAGTAGAACAGTGGGAAAGAGTTGGATGGATTGTCAACTGCCCACCCTAAATCCTCGGTAAATACTGCTAAGCATACTACATGGTTGGTCACATGAGTACAGAAATCTGAGCTTGACACAAATTCAAAATTAAGTAACCTATTTTTCTTACAAATTCGAAAATAATTAAATATTTAATTAAGTCAATTTTAACTTAGTTAAATTTTTTTATTCACTAATTTTTAAATTAACGAAGTTATATAAAAAACATTAGTTAACTTTTAATTTAACTTACTTTTTCTTATATTAACTTAACTTAACGAGTTAAAAAAAACGTTAACTTGCCCAGCCTTGTAAATAGTATTTATATAGTCACATAGACATGTTGTTTTATTACTAGACTAATTGTCTTCTTGCACTCATTGCTTGTAAAAATATCACCACTTATATAATCCAAATTTTATTCAATTTGTTATTCAATACTAGGTATAAAGATGTTCATAACTTAAAAAAGATAAGATCTAAGTTCAACTCTTCAGATTTATTATATTAATATATAATCTAAATAAAGTTAGGAATGGTTTTTTAATGTTTAAAGAAAATTAATTGTTTTTTCCTTTAAATGATACGTTGTAATACATATTTTATAGAGTCGATATATTACTCTCAAACCTATCTATTTGTTTCATAAGCAATCACTAATTTATGTTTAAAAAAAATTTAGCATAGTATTGGTTATTTCTATTTATCATAAATTTATTATAGAAAATGTAATATTTGTAATCAATCTTTACAAAAAAAATGCAATAAAACCTCACTAAAACAGAATTACTTAGGATCGCATAATCGTTCCATCTTTTGACGAAGCTTACCAAAAATCATAAGCTTAAATTATAGATAATTTATTTTTCATATTATTTGTATATATGTTATATATATAAGTGAGTGTATGTAACGGTACAAAGAAGATAATTTGATACTAAATATTTCAAGCATTGGCTTACTCAATATTAGTTTTATTACTTAATGTTAAAATATAAAGCACATACCCATTTATTAATCATTGTTTATTTATGAGTATTGACAATATGACTAAAAATAAAATTAATTATCATTTGTTGGTTGACTAAAAGTAAGTTCTTTCCAATAATATTATATTAGACATAGTTTGAGTTTGGTTTTCTACATTATTTTAAATTTTCACAGTTTTCACCCAATTTTAATGCAAGAACACATACATTTCTGGCTTAGTGAGGTTTTCTTTTAAGTGGAGTAAATTCATTACATATTTTAAATATAACTAAAGAAATTATTGAGTTTGACCTGAGTTTTTTTCTTTTTTATTTTTCATGCATATATAAGATTTTTTAGTGCATATTTTGTTGGTTTTTAATGCATATAAATCCGCACTCCAATTATAAATTATAGTGTAAAATGATTTTCCTTAATAATTTTTCTTCAGATGAAATTCATGATGGCATGAACATAGAACTTTACTATCAATAAATACATTTAATAGAATAAAATTGTAAATTTTTTTTCTTAATGCATAACATAATTATTTAACTAATAAAGATTCATTTTTAAAATAATGTTAATAATTTTATTCACTCAAAATTTCATACATTTTGTTTTGTTTTTTAATGTAAAAATGTAGATTAAAATTGTTATAAATAATTTTATGTCAAATTAAATTAATGCAGCCTAGATGCATTAACATTATTTATATGTACTGGTACCAATCCTTCTGCGAGTTCGTATTGAGTACAATGTTCACTATTTAATAAATCTCGTATATGTTGAACAATCAAATCAATAGCCACTGCAAAAAAAAAAAATACATATATTATGTATATTTAAGATCAAGATTATAACTTTAACGACTTTAATTTATTTATTTCTACAAATTTTATAAAAAATTTATTATTTAGAAAACTTTTATATTGTAAGTTGCATTAAATTTAATATTTTTATTTGAAATGTAAGTAAAATTGAATGGTATAATATCTGGAAATAATAAATTCTTACTTAGTTTAATGTTAAGATATAAATAAAATAGTTTGATTTTTAAAATTATTTTGATGCAAAAAATTAATTTTTGTTTAGGTTAACTCATTTGAAATCAATAATTATTTCTCTATTAAACTGTTGAAATATAAACAATAAACAAATATGTAGCTACTAATTTACTGAATTACTTAAAATATTGAATTTTTTTTTTTATTAAAAAATATACAATCTGTATTAATAAAAACACAATAAGTAAATGTGATAATATGTACAATAAAATAATATAATATAATATAATGATAGAATAGCATGATAAGGAAGACCATCCAATGATAGAACCCTTCAGATTAAAAAAAAAAAAAAATTTGAACTTATAAATAAAACTTAATTTAAATCCACTTATAGAAAAAAATTGTATACAACTGATTATAAAAGACAATTTAAAATATTTAATAATAGCTACAGTTTTTTTAACATAAAAATTAAAATAATAACATACCAAAATTTTCTGCTCCTCTTGGTATAATAATATCAGCAAATTTTTTAGTCTAAAATATTTTTAAAAGTATAAATAAAACAAAAACTATTTGTAGTAAAAATTTATAAAATTAAAAATTATATTTACTGGTAAACAAAATTCTTCAAAAGCAGGTTTTACAAAATTCATATATTGATTTAATACTTGTTCTAAATCTCTGCCTCTTTCATTGATATCTCTAGGAACTAAAAAAATATTGATGTATGTACAACACTTAAACTAAATATACAAGATAAATTAGTTAATTACCTCTTCTGGCTAATCTAGTATCTGAATCTGTATCTACGAACAATTTCATATGAAATAGATCTCGAATTGCAGGAAAATAAAACGCTAATATGCCTTCAACAATCACAACATCTGCAGGATAGATGACTATGTTCTCATTCTTACTTCTAAAATTACAAAATATAAATATTTGAAATTATGAATGTGTTAAAACTAATTGTTCATCTATTCTTTTTACCTTGAATTTGTTTTATAGTTGTAAACTGGAATAGTGCAGGTTTTTCCTGCTTGAATATCAGTCAAAGTTTGAAACATAAATACCTCATCAAATGCATCTAATAAATTAAAATCTAAAGATTAATAAAGTAACACGTAACAATTTAAATTTACATGTATTTGAGGTATTCTAAACATATATAAATTAATTAACTAAAATCACTTTAAAATATTATTTTCAGTAATACCAGGATGATCAAAATTGAATTGTCCTTTAGAAGCTTTGATTTTCTCAGTACTATTTAATTCTCTATAAAAGCTGTCTTGACTGATTGACACTACTTGTCTTCTTGTTTCATCTAAATTGGTTTGCCCCAATTTCTCTATAATATTTTTGCAAACAGTGGACTATAAAATAATGTTATACAAGAATTAATTATTAATATGATCTTGAAACACAAATGAAGATTGCTGACATAATAATTTAATAAAATAATATAGGAATTTACTTTTCCGCATGCAGTTCCACCAGCCACTCCAATTAAAAACGGTGACTTGGTTTCAGTTTTGGTTAAACAGGAACTATTCATTTCTTTGATTTAAATATAAAATATTAAAAATAAGATGACAAAACTTAGTTTTAAACAAAATTGTATAATTAAGTATTCTATTAATCGGATAAATATGAGCAGTAAGCACTAAGCACTGAACTTGAAAATTTATTGTAATTTTCTTATCATATTTTGATAATATATTACGCTTTAATTGTTATCAACCTACGGAAATAAAAATAATCAGACTTCAGACATGAAAATAGATGCGCATTGCGTACTGCATGGTCTTAGAAGACCATGGCTTACTGTATTATGTTCTGTGGTACTGTAGAGTGGGGTTATATTTTATTATTTTTTTGTATTTATATTTTATTAAAATAAATTATATTTTTTTGTCATACAGCAGAGTACAATAAATGGAATCGATATTTCCCGGCCGGGAAAATATGGTACCTATGTTAATGAAAATAAATTAAAAATCGTTTTATGAAAAAGGCATGATTTTAACGATGTTGCTTATAATTTAATTTTAACTCAATAATATAGGTACTCAATATTTTGAGTATGTGCCCTGCTTTCTGGGTCTATAAAATTTGTGAGTATTAACTATTAAGTATAATAGAGTACGATAATATTAATAGAATCGCCGCCGCCGATCGTTGGAGTATAATAACCAAAAAGTACCTTTTACAACTCTTATTTTAAAATTGATAAAAACAAAAAACCAAAATTAAATCAAATGCTATAACTACAACACGGACTTTTATGCACTAAAAAGTATCGAAATACGCAATAAAAATTATGAAAATACTCAAGAAAATTAATTTTATTTATTTAAATGGCAAGCTGTTCCCCCTCATGTGTACCTTAATCACCTTCCACTTCCATCTGCCCAAAACGTTAGGTTAGTTAATTATTGCAAATATGCAATAATTATCATACTACTCAATTGAATTTAGTAATTCAAAGGATAATATTTATAATATAGTTATCATTATTTATTAATATTCAATTGTACAAATAAATATTCATTTAAAAATATGAATGATTAAATAAAAATACACATTAATCATAACTTAAATTTTTAAAGCTTATATTATATAACAATTATTAAAATAATTAAAAAAATTTTTGCTTAAAAAATACATAGATCTATTATCTACCATCAGTGAGTTAAGTAGGTAATTTATCTTGTTGATCTTATTTTTCATTAAATTTATTAAATTATTCTTTATTAAATTTCATTTAAATTAATGAATTTCGTTTCGGATAATGCTAATGCTGATTAACTGCAATATTACAACATGAGTTATTTTAAAGATGTAACTTTAAAGATAGTGTTACAAATTACGATTTTACTGTTTGTTCCATTATTATTACACCTTTAGTTGTACGTGGAAAACACCTAACGGTTAAATATAATTTAACAGAACTTTTTAATGTTATCTTTTTAACAAAAAATAATTTATTAAGTACAAATTATTGTAATTGTGATAGAGTTTTCATTTATAAAGCACCAATTATTTATATAAAGTGATCAATACCATAAATCGTTTATAAATTCCGTGATTAATGAAAAAAAAATAATAAAGTAAAACATTGAATAGTGAATACAAAACTAAAATCAAATTAAAACAAAATATTAAAAACTGCAAATGCTACGTTATTTTAATGTCAAAACATTATACTTATTTAACTTCTTTGTAAGCATAATCGCATAGGACTTTAAATTGAAAAAAAAACCGTTTAATAATTATCTATCCATAATCCATATAATATAAACTTATACGTTGATTGATACGCTCATGAGTTATTGTACATCAAATAATTTACCGAAAATATAACATTAATATATGCTTGGATGCTGGTTCGCTAGGATACTTAAAAATAATAGTGAATAATGTAATTATTCATAATCTTATGGTTTTTTTTAACTTCGACTATTTTTTACTCTAGATCCGTGGTTCTCAGCCGGTGTGTTGCGTGAAGTACTAATTTTAAATTACACAACATTTTTCAAACAATTAATAAGTAAAAAAAAAAAAAAAGGTATTTTTTTATATTATATCTATGGGTCGCTTGGGTTAATAGGCCGGTATCCTCCCAGTCTGGGCCTGAGCGTGTCGCCATTTTTATGGATTTAAATTAAGGTGTCGTCAAACGAAAATGGTTGAGAACCACTGCGCTAGATGACCAAACCACAAATTCGGAATTACAATTAAATTCAGCGTACAATAGCACCAATAAACATCATACAAAGTAAATAATAAATGGCAAAATAATGAATTCATAGTTATTCTATTTGTTTTTAAAATATTTACTATTTTCGTCTGCGTTGTTGCTGTATCTCGACGATGACAATGACTATAACAGTTATAAATTTATAATACATTTTTTTTTTATTATTAGGCTGTAATTTTATAGTATGTATACACTATATAGTGTCAGGCATCTCTTTGTTCTCTGTCCAGCTCTACGTACGCCAATTATCTACACAGTACACGGTGTATAATAGTAAAAGAATGACAAATTATAATTTTACTTTCCTTCGAATGTTGATATTAGTATTACCACATCTTTAAAAATTTGAGTGTAATAAAAATAGTGTTCTAACTTCTTAGAAAAATTCCCAAGTTCCAATACCAAACTCTAAGTATAAGTCCGTAAAAACATTACGCCCAGGGATCAATCCCTGTCTTCTTCCCCCCCACTTCTTCTGTCACTGAGAGCATTGAGTTTATCAGATGACCGCTGGCATGCACACATCTTATATAGTTGTTACATTTACATACTTGCACTAGTTGACCTTTATTCAAATAATTTAAAAAAATTATTTCTATTCATAAAAAAAGATATTTTAAATATAGGAGGTACCTGTACCTTCACAATGTTATACATATAGATTGTTCTGTGTACCTATTCTTGGCAGATTTGCAATATTGTATCAAGTGTAGATAATATTCCGCTACGAGTAGGAAGTCAAGGTGGTTATGGGGTTTGAACCACTACATGCATTGAAATTGTGGTCACTCTAGTATCTACCTATTAACCAATGTCCAACAGTTGGTCAGTAACACGCTAGTCGCTGTTAAGATTGTTGTCGTTTTGTTATCCACGTTTACTACCGTCTATGGTTAATAATTATACTATTTATTATTCAATAAAATTATAAAAACATTTACAATTTACATCCGCCGTATAAATAATAAATTTTAATCTGTAATTGACTACCAATTTTTATGACCCGATTACGTTAAATTACATAAATAATGTGAATCGTTTTACATTTACAATCAATAATCATATTATTTTACTATTTATTGTTATTGAAACACTCAAAACTACTTATGCATCTCTACATTTAATTGTATTTAATACAGCTATTTACTTAATATAATCCAATAATTAGTTTTACTAGTTATTGAAGGGTGGCGTATATGAGGTATTTGCTTACCGTTTGAATAGTCAAATTATCCAATCATTCACAACCATACCAGTCGAGGACTAGAGGTCGTCTCTAATAGTCATGGGGTTTTTGAGTTTCATCGGACTTATTGTAGTGATAAAGTTCTTAGTGTATCTTGTGTTGTTCATGACTAGTGATTCAGACCTGGAACTCTGGTTTTATGACAAGTTTAAGAGAAATCTTGGTAGGTACCTACATTCCCTTTCAATTAAAAATACAACCTCTTCAAAACTAAGATATTTTACATAATTCATTTGGTCATTTACTATTTAAAATATAATTGTAAAGTAACTTTTGTTATTCGTTAATTAATTTAATTTTTTTATGTATAATATACACATTGTACTATGTTTAAATTGGTACTGATATAATATGATAGTTCTTAAGATATATTTTATTGTTCTAAATATACCAACTATTTTAATTTTGCTATAGATTCTTTTAAAGATAAGGTAGTTTGGATTACTGGTGCTTCTAGTGGAATTGGCGAAGAAATTGCGTTAAATCTTTCTAAATATGGTGCCAAACTTGTTTTGTCTGCTAGAAGTAAAGACAAATTATATAAAATTAGAAACCGCTGTATTGGTAATTTTTTTAAAACAATTTATTTCTTATAAATTATATTTTAAATTTTGTATTGTAAAATTCATAGAACTTAGTGAAGGAAAGCTAACTGCTAATGATATACTCGTATTACCAATGGATGTCACTATTATATCTAAACACAATTCATTGTTTGATGATGTTATTAACCATTTCGGCAAAGTAAGAATTATATTATTAAAATTAAATCATTAATTATAAATTAATTCAAAATTTAAATACATTTTTGAAAATGTTTAACTGAAATTGTTGTTATTTTTCATTTGTATTTAGTTTTAAAAGTTATTTAATTGTTAATGTATACAGTGCTTTTTTTTTTAATAGATCTCATTTTTTGTTGAGCTAAATTAGGAAGGTTTATCTTATGATTTATGGAACAAATTATCCTTTTTACCTTTTTTGTATAACTACAAGTATAACTAACTTAGTATAACTAAGTTATAAGTAACTTTTTTTCTATCATACATTTTTAAAAGTATTATCATTGATTATAAATATTTATAATAAATGGTATTATAGTATCTGATAATACAATAACCCTAACAATTTATATAGCTTGATATCCTTGTAAATAATGCGGGTCGTTCACAACGAGCTATATGGGAAGATATTGACCTTGGAGTTGATAAAGAATTATTTGATTTAAATGTATTTCCTATTATAAATCTATCAAGAATTGTAGTGAGATATTTTAATCAAATCGGACAAGGTCAATTAGTGGCCACTTCTAGCATTGCAGGAATTATACCGGCTCCATTTTCTGCAACCTATGATGCAACTAAACATGCTCTTCATGTAAGTAAACAATTAATATTGATAAATTAATATTTTTAAGTGAATAACAACAGCTGTAAGTGATATAACTGAAACTAACTATAAAATAATATATTAAATATTTTATGGTAGTTATAAGTATTAAAATTATAAAATAATTTTTAGTGAAGGTCATTCTTTAAATAATTAAGTTGAGTATTTGAAAATAAAACTTTACTATTCCATAGTTTAGCTCAATGTCACTTAGACCTTTAATAAAAGCTAAAAATTATAAACAAAAAAATTGTTTCCTGTTAAAATTTGGATAAAAATTCCTTGATTTCATTTGAAAGTAAACATTTCAAACTCAGTTTGAAAAATAAATTGTTGCCTTACAAAACCCCTTGATGTCTATTTAGGCCTATGGTTTCAATTATGTAGAGCAACAAAATGCAGCTATTGGTAATCACTCTCTCTCACTCTTTAAATATATATCTAATATTTATATTTATTTGTTATAAGGGCTATCTTGGAGCTTTACGTCTAGAAAAATTACGTACTAATATTCACATTACTTTATTATGTCCGGGTCCTGTTTTTACCAATTTTCTTAAAGAAAGTTTCACAGGTCGTCCAGGAGAAGTAATAAAGATAAAAATTAAGTTTATAACTTGTCATTATATTTGTTAAATAATTTACAGAAATATGGATTAACACATTCGCCAACAGACAACAGAATGAGTGCTGAGAGATGTGCACATTTGTCATGTGTAGCAATAGCAAATAAATTAAAAGAATCATGGATGGCAAAGTTTCCATTTATTCTAATTACATATTTTTCGATATACTATCCTGTAATGTCATACAAGTAAGGAGATATATTTTGACTTTATAGTTAAATAGTCTATAGGGTAAGAAATAATACTACAATTATTATAACTATTGTGTATTAATTCTGAAAAAATTAAACAATAAATTGAATTTACAATTATTTGTTTTTATTATTTTTGTTGATTGTATGTATTTATTTTACCTACTATAAGTGGTTTTAAAATGTATTAAATATAGAAGGTAAAACAATGTAATAATTCTTAAATTAGTAAATACATAGTACATTTTATAATTTTTTTAAATTTATTTTAAATAAATAAAATATCATCTATATTTTACAGATTGTATGAACTCTACGGCTACAAAACCATTAATAAATTGCGAGACAATCGATGATTACAGTATTAATTCGAAACTTGAAGATATCAATATATTTTATTTGAATTAATACTTATCTATTTAATCATATATTTTTTTCAAGAACTTTAAATACATATACAGTTTTATGTTACAACAATGTTTTATTTTTATCTAAAATTTCTTTTCTTATTTTTTTAGCCTTGAGAATAACATTTTTAAATAAATCACAATAAAGATTTATAGCACTTGGCGTGTCATCATTGCCAGGTATTGGGTATGTTACAATATTGGGATTAGCATCTGTATCTACAATAGCAATAGTTGGTATTAACATTTTTGCAGCATCTGAAAGAACACTATGTTGTCCACTATTGTTTTTAGATGTACTGCTTAGTGTATTTAATACTATGCAAAGATCAGGCAATCTTGTTTCAGATTTGAAAATTCTTGAAGAATTTGTGAACATTCCATCACGCCAATATCTTGTATGCGCAAATTCACCACATTCTATTGCACAATTTTCTACAGTCAAGCAATTGAGAGGTGATTGACACAAAAACAAAATTACTCCGCCTCTAAAAACATAAATAAATATATTTATATCATGCATAGCCAAAACAGCATTAAACAGATTGAATAAAATATACAGAGAATCAACCTCTATGTGACACTTACTGTCTTAACAAATTACATATTGGGCATTTAAGGTTTGTAATATAAATATAAAACTTCAAATAGCTATAACTTTGAAACTAATTTCGAATCTCAAATTCTGATTACGCTAATTTAGTGTTAATTGGAAAAATGATCCCACCCCCATAAAAAATTAATAATAGTAAAGAAATATAGTAATGTAACAAAGTTCAATTAACTAAGTAAATAATTAATAGTATATATTATAATATAATAATAAGAATATTATGGCATTTTCTTTTTCAATTACCTATATGATATATGTGCAGTCACATTAAGGGCTTGTTGTAGAAGTCTTTTAGTATGATTTAAATCGATAATTAAATGTCCTAATCTGTTACCATATAAATATTGTTTCATTCTATTATCTAATGTTCCTTCTGTATGTCCAAAATGTACGCCAGCTTCAAACAAATTTTTAATTTTAACCATACTTTTTACATCAAAAGCATCTGGATTGGACAACTTATATTTGGATTCTAAAATAAAAATTCCAAATATTATGTAATATTAATTTATGACATATAATAGAAACTTACCATCAGAAAGAGATTGTACATCTTGTGCAACATCAAGTTGTGATTTAGGTAATGTTGATAGATATGATGAACAAATTCTTGTTTTTAAGTTTTGAGTTAAGTGTTTACCAAATATTTGTCCTAAACAAAAAGTGCTGTTTGATAAAATAGAAGAAAAGAACAGTTTTATTTAGTTAAAAATGTATAAAATTATATTTTTGTGATAAGTATCCCCCATAGTATTTGTCCCTATTAGGTACATTGTTTTTAGGAAAACTGTATTAGTTTATTAAAAATAGATTGTGACACATGATAATTAAACAAAATAATATATTTTTAAAGGCTAAGATGTATTAATAGTATAAGTAAGTGGTATAATAAATTAATAATAGTAATAGCAAAGTTTATAAAAATCAAAAAATGTAATTATAAATTATATGAATATATATAATCAACAATATTTAAATAATGTGTAAGTTGATTTCAATTATCATAGTAAATATATTAATATAAACTAACCAAATTATGCTTCCATAGGAATTTGAAAACTAAATAATTTTGATATAATATCTACAAACTGAGAATTCTTAATAATGTATATTTTATTTATTTGTTGTATTATTTTACTTTTTACTCATCAAAACTCAAAATTAAAGCAATCAAATGTTATTCTCAAATATTGCGTGCTATAAAATAAGTCAACTAAAAAGTTTCAAGCTGAAAAAAAAATAATATTTTAACAAAGTGTATAGGAAATAAATGTTGTTGAGTTAAAAAGACAACATAATATTATTTTCTTAACAAAAACACATTTACTGAGAAATCAAGACCTATTAAATATAATATAACCCAAATACTCACTATAATAACGAGTAGCCATATTAATAAATTAACTGTCAACTGCCTAAAATGTTTAAAAATATTAAAATTGTAAATTGTAATTTAATATTTATTAATTTTTAATTTTCTTTTCTTATCAGTAGTGGAAAACGTGATTAAATTTCAAATTAATTTAAAGGTTAAAAACTTCTTTAATAACCATGGTTTAGTATTTAGGGTTAATCGTGATGTTTTTATTTGATTAATTGAAAATTGTCAATTGAACTCATCAATATATTTTTACAACACAATACATGTGTTATAAGATTGTAACATTAAATTTACTTTTTTTAAAACATAAAATTGCACCTTTGAAATTCAAATTTAATTATTTGAAATGGCACTAATGTCAGTCGTATGATAAGGATGACAACCATAGGATTCCTGAATAACCAATCGTTGAATATTGTGACATTAATTTATTCTGTGATTGTGATATCTATCCGACAGTGTGTAGTCCGTCGATCTTACGATGGTTACCGTTACGTTGGTATTAGTTCATGGGCGGAATTCACCAAATAATCAAATACTATTATTTTCTTTAACACCTATAATACCTATGTGTTTTTTTTATAGGAGTTGTATTAGTTGATACTAACAATAAATAAATGTAATAATTATTATACCTATTTTTTTTTTTTTTTTTTTTTGTAAATCATAGTGGGTAATTTGTAATTAAACTAGTAATACCATTTTGCGTTTAAGATCTGTTTAGTGTTTAGATTATAATATATCTAGTGAAGTTTTATGTATTTATTAAATCAATATTGTGTAGTCCATTATGTCTATAATAATAAAATTGTCAGTTGTTCTGTGATTAACAAAATCTCAATATAGAAACTACCTACATCAATTTCTGCAAAACTTTACTACACTTCTGAATCGAGTTACATCGAATAGCTTAGATTTTGAGATATTTATTTCATAGATAAGTATAGGTAAGCCATACCTAATAATAATCATAATTGTTGTTTTATATTTATTTATTCAAGGCTAATTATATTATACTACTACCTTCTATATATATTGTTATATATTAGACATGGTGAAGACATAAAATACAGTTAAATATGATTATTATTATCATTTTACAGCTATGTTAAGCAGTTGGACCAAACATTTGCTTCATTGTACCTTATTGGTGTTTGTAATATCAGCATTTGAAATCTGGTCAGGAGGAGTTAAACTATCAGCAGATGTTCAAAATACTTTTAATTTTAATGCATGGGAACGCTATGGTTTTTTTTGGTGCTCTATGTTGTATCTATTACGATGTTTGACCTTCTTACCATTACCACAAGTACTATTAAATTTTGGCGGTCTTACACTGTACAATGCTTTTCAAGACAAAGTTGTACTAAAAGGGTCACCTTTGTTGGCTCCATTTATATGCATACGTATAGTCACAAGAGGAGATTATCCTCAGTTAGTCAAAGCTAATGTAGCCCGTAATATGGCTCGATGTTTAGAAACTGGTAAAATTAAAATATAAATTTAGTTTTATTATTTATTATTCAGTTTTAATTTGTTTGTTTTTTGTTTTGAATTTAGGATTGGAAAATTTCATTATTGAAGTAGTGACAGATAAAAGTGTTGGACTTCCTGTACATAGGCGTATAAGGGAGGTAGTTGTTCCAAAATCATATAAAACAAAGACTGGCGCACTTTTCAAATCAAGAGCTCTTCAATTTTGTTTGGAAGACAATGTAAATATTTTGGCAGATTGCGATTGGGTTGTACATTTAGATGAAGAAACCCTATTAACAGAAAATTCAATTAGAGGTGTATTGAATTTTGTTTTGGATGGTAAACATCAATTTGGCCAGGGTCTTATTACATATGCAAACGAAGAAGTAGTAAATTGGTTCACAACCTTAGCAGATAGTTTCAGAGTAGCTGATGATATGGGTAAACTTCGAATTCAACTCTCAATGTTCCATAAGCCACTTCTTAGTTGGAAAGGATCTTATGTTGTCACCCAAGTAATTATTGCTTAAACTTATTTTTATAAATAAACAAATAACCGTAGTTTATTGATATGAAATTAATTTTTTTGCTCAATTGAGTTTGATGTTGCATTTAAATTACTCAATTATTTAATAATATAACGAATTTAAAATTTCAGTTGGGTGCAGAGCGTCATATTTCATTTGATAATGGTTTAGATGGATCAATAGCAGAAGATTGTTTTTTTGCCATGCGAGCTGCTAAAGAAGGCTATACATTCAATTTTGTTGAAGGAGAAATGTGGGAAAAATCACCATTTTCACTTTGGGATTTCATCCAACAACGTAAACGTTGGCTTCAAGGTATTCTATTAGTTGTCCATTCAAAGGCTATACCTTCAAAAACAAAAATTTGGTTAGCTTTATCATGTTATTCATGGGTGACATTGCCGCTGTCAACTTCTAATTTAGTTTTAGCTAGATACTTTCCAATTCCATGTCCAGCAATCATGGATTTTGTTTGTGCATTTATAGCTGGAGTCAATATATATATGTACATATTTGGTGTAATGAAATCTTTTTCATTATATCGTTTTGGTGTTCTAAAATTTACGTTATGCATTATAGGAGCACTGTGTACTATACCTTTTAATGTTATAATTGAAAATGTAGCAGTTATATGGGGCCTTTTTGGCAATAAGTACAAATTTTATGTTGTACATAAGGAAATCAAACCACTTGTCACTGTGTAAATAACTGTCAGTAATGTGTTCATTTGCATTGGATCTGATTTTTGGGAGGGAAAGACTATCTTGCCATTTAAAAATAAAGCAGATGAATAATACATATATGTATGTATCATTGAAAACTATGGTTTACTATAATTTTTGAAATTTAAAATACTCAACACTTGATTATTATAAATGCTCAAATCTTATTTAAAAAATGAATTCAAATTATTTATCAAAATAAGTAATGGTTATTATACATTTTAAGATCTGCTAATCGGAATGTGGTTTTGAAAATCCTTAACTATAAAATATTATGTTAAAAATCTCATAAATACACTTTGAATAATTTAATTCTATTTTTTTTTCTATTACAAAAATGCAAATAGCTAATTGATAAGTTTTTATTAAGCCTTTGGATGCCATTGTACTTTTTTTTTGTGAAGGCCGAGATCTCTGATTGTACCCTTGATAAAGTTTGGCAAAACTAGTCATAACCTAGTTTTATTAAGAGTTTTAACAGTTTTAAATTTTGAGTATATTGCTTATGTTTATATAAGTTAATTTTAACAAATGCACACAATCTAGTAACCATACCAACAAAATAGATTGATTACTATGATAAAACTTATAAATAGTAAGATTGTATTTTAATACTTATCACTTTTTCATTTTTTTTTTTTTGACAATACTCATATCTCTAATTTCCTTTGGAATTGTAGTTGTGAATTAGTTTAAGTAATCGATACTACTTAATATGAACAAATCTTTACAGTTAATGCGATATTTAACAGTTTTGGTATGCTAGTCATATTAATCTCAGTTTATACAATAAATTATAGTTTTCTACTTAACTTTTGTTGACTTTATAATTTAAAATTTTTTTTTACCTACTATTACTATTTCAAATATACATATTTAATATAATTTATGTAAATATATAAATATTAAATTATAAGTTTTGTAGGTATACTAATGTAATATTATAGAAATCGTTAAAAAAAAATTTAAAAATATGGTATAAGATAGTTCAGTGAGGTTCAACTAAGTGTAGTTAATAATTTATAAAATTATCTTGTTTAATTTTTTTTTCATATCATTTATCTATGGGTATTGTGGGTGGGTTGTTATTGTTGTATTTAAATCTAAATTTAAATTTAGCAATAGTATTTTCATTACTCTACTTAAAATTAAGTAAATTTTAATTGTACAATAAAAAAACAAAAAATGTTATTTATATGTTTTATTATGGTAGATATGTACCAACATCTGTATTTATGCATTATATAGTATTTTGTAGATTGAAATTGTGATCTGAATAACTTAACACTTAATATTTTGATTTTTCATACAAACAAAAGAGTGAGCCTCCATATCATTTTTGTTTACATCTAGCCATTCAGGTATAAAATAGTAATCATGAAACATAAATGCTTTTATTACATATGTGTAAGTTTTCTTTTATTATGCACCATTACAATTTATTTAAAGTATTATCTGTACATGTATATTCAAATAAACTATATTTTTTTTTATTAATATATAACAAATAAATTAACTAAAATGTTGTTTTTGTATAGTAATGTAAATATTTTCTTAAGATTATAAAAACATATTTATATTTACTTTCAATTTGATGTGTATAAATATGTTACTGATGAATTTAATTTTGGGCATATAATTATTATGAGAATATTTAATTGTCATTTCTAAAAAATTGATACATTATCAAGATTTTAGAATTGCCGTACTTTAAGGCAACCTTTTATTTAGTTGTTTTCTAGAATACTGGTTTGAATTTAGCATGTCTTTGTGTAGATTGTGTTTTAAGATCACCAATCATATCAATTCTTAAAAAAATATTTAAGTCACATCAGACTTAAAGTTAACATATTTATACTTAATAAACTAATCTGTTTTTACATTGTAAAAGTATATCAGAGAGTGCCAACCATTGTGTTTGGTTTTCCAGTTTTGAAACAATAAAATGTTAAAATTGATGATCAGCCATAAATAGGAGTTAAGATTTTTCCTTTAAAAATGTTATGAAAAATACTGTACCAGCTTAAGTTAAATAAAATATGGCAATTGTAAATTTAAGACACTATTTATCTAAATTAGTGGTGATCAACATTTTTTTACCGAGGATCGAAAAAAAAAAATTTTGGCAGGCCAAAAATTTAAACTTTTTCTTTGAATTGAATATTCAATTTTATTTTAGGTACATCTTAATATAGGTATACTGGTAAATTTAATTATTTACTATATATTGATTGTTATAAAATTAAATATAAATGAATAATAATTATTATTATTGTTATTTAGTTCAATATAAATATTCTATTACATTTTACAAACGTTACATTTTTAGAATTTTTTTATTTTTAATTACTTTGGCGGGCCGGATTCAGTCATCACTGATCTAAACACTAATTCTGATTTAAAATAAGTGGCTCTCTGACTAATAATACATCTGTCATCTATAGTAATTATTATAGTAAAAGAATCTTTCATACATTTCTTTTCAAATTATAGTTAATAAAAAAAATAAAAATACTTTTACTGTATATATTTGTGTATATTAATTATTTTTTATTTTTTTACTAATTTATTAGTTAACTACAATTAAACCTACTTACACAAATTAAAATATATATAATACTTACATTTACATTAGTGGTTCCAAAACTCTTCTATTCTACGCCCCCTCTGTAGATTTTCAAAAATCTCACGCACCCCTTCTATAAATTGAAAACAATCGATCACCTTATTTTGTGTACTTTACAATTTTAACTATACAATATTGAATATTCGGAATGATTACTTTTTTGTTAAGGATAATTTGTCGATTATCCGTTATTGATACCCGATAACGGATTAAAAGAACCGGTCAATTAATTTTATTTTTCTTAAAAGTTCTAAAATAAAAATTGTTTTTCGTAATAACTACTTGTACCTCTCCAACAATGTGTATACGCCCTCCATTTTGGGAACCAGTGATCTACATGCATGTCAAACATTTCGATTTTCACGTCATGCATATAATCTTTTTATATTTAATATAAATCATACTATTTATATATTGATATGCATAATACGATAGTATAATTTAAAAATACAATGTTAGTGACTTGACCACTCAGAGAAGAAGTCCTCCACTAACAATATTTCACAACTGGTTATAAAACACCGTAAGAAAAATTGGCCTCTTTCTTAGTATGTTAAAAATATATTAATTTTTATTTTTTTGCATATATTTTAATTATTTATTTAAATGCTAAATGTTTATTATTTACTAACTTTTTATATTGAAGTGGTATTAGTTAATGTAATAAATTCAATATTAATTATTAACAAATTATAAATTCAATTTAGGTGTTCAGTAGTTTTAGCTTTAATGCTTGTGTAAAAATAATACTTTATACTTAAAAATTGTTATTTTTTTTATGTCAATATAAACATAGTACCCAAATTAATAATACACGTCATAAAAACATGATTATGATCAAATTAAATTTTTTAAAACTGAAATTACGTATATGTTTAAATATTTATATACGTTATCAGCTAATAAATATATTTTTAAGATATAAAAATAATATTACTCATTTTGTTAATCAAAAATACTATACTTTTAATTTACTTCAATAAATTGGGTATTCAATAAGCAATGTATAATGTATTTATTATCTCTTAGTGTTTATTAGATAACATTTAATAATTTAATATATACAAAATGGTTCTATAAAAATAGAACATAAATTATAAAAATACATATTTGAGGATTTTGAAAAATCTTATAATATATCAAACATTATTCTATAGGTATATTTTCATTTTAATATTAACTGTACTGTGCACTTCAACACTGGTCTAAAATCTAAACTTAAATATGCCAAAAGTATACCAAATGAGTAAACATTAAAACGAAAACAATTCAATAAGTACCAAGTTTGCTTATTGTTACTCTTAAATCTTAATTTTTATAAATAAATTGAAAATAACATTAAAAATAATCACCTTAGCACTTAAATTACTAAGATTTTTTACAAACTACACTCTACAATGTCAATAATTTAAAAAAAAATGTAAATTGACCTTGACCAGGATTAAAAGTTGTGTGCTTAAAAAAAAATCGTTTTGAATTCATATATGTAACTATTACCTATCTAAATGTTTACATTATGTATTTGTTAATTGTTAATATATATTATGTTTTCATTTTATTAGATTAAAAGACTATAATATAATATTAATTCATTACAAACATACCTATTCATCAATCGTTTAAATTCCGTGGAATTGTGTATATTCATCTTACTGTATAAAAATTAAAACCATGAATCTTATCTGAATTATTTTACTGCTACTAAGAATTTATTTAAAATTGTAATCTTCTGACTATTTGACCGTTGAACTATGAATATAGATTAATAACGGTTCTGTTCAATATTCTATATTTGACGATTACACTAGTTAATTTTAATCGGCTAACAAAATGTGTATAACAATAGCAAACAAAAATTAAAATAATGATCAAGAATTCAAGTTTAGGGAACAGTTAATTGAACGGTTTATGTATTATAATAAAATGTGAATATTTATTATTTAGGTATACCTAACCAATGTACCTAATTACAATAATAAATACCTAATAATGATGTGTACGTATACACTATACATGATAAAATCTCTAATTCGAAGGTTTGCTTAATTTCTGAAAGTTGATTAACTATAATTATTATATATTTTATACAATATTGTTATGTTATGGTTAGGTACTTGTTAGTAGTTAGTATTTAATATTAAAATAATTTTATACATTTATACGTAATCTAATAAGACAATTAAATAATAGTACAGATATCTTAATTTTCAATAGAAATGTTTAAAAATTAATGGCAATGACCGCCGCCCGACAATTAGTTTCTTTCAATATTGTTAGTCCCGTTGTTTTCTACACTGTTCTGCAATCGTAGGTATCCTTGAAATTTTCCCGCCATCTAATTTTATCGCTTTTTTGCCCCTTTGACCAAGGTTTGTTCTACAACTAGTAATTAGTGACTTACTGCAGTACCGTCTGACCGGTGGCTAGTGGCTACCGGTTGACTACAACTGTGTGGTTATTGAATCCCGATCAGTGTATCATCCTCCTACCCGAGAC